CCTGCTGCTACTCCTGCTGCTACTGCGAGGGCTTCTATTGCTACTGCTACTACTGCTACGACTGCTCGTGCTGCTGCTATTGCCACTACTGCTACTACTGCTACTGCTGCTACTGCTGCTACTACTGCTACTACTGCTAGTACTGCTAGCTACAGGTCCGAATCGTACCAGAGCAGTAGTATTCCCCTCCTCATAATGCGGTGGGGTCTGTGGCGGTGTTGATCTCATGTGCTGAAGAGTTCGTGCTTATGTAGTACTTAGTATCGTCGTCGACAGCGAAGGCAGCAGGAGGAGGACGAGGAGCAGGAAGACGAGCGAGCAGGCGGAGCAGGAGGACAAGCAGGATCAGCAGGAGGAGCAGGAGGAGGAGGAGGAAGAGGAGGAAGAGGAGGAAGAGGAGGAGCAGTCAGCAGATAATGGTCCTCGTCTTCGGCCTCGCCGTCGTCGTCTTTGTCACTACGATGGCTGTCTCAAGTCTAGCTAGATTCTTATTGCTCGAGACGTCAGTCTTGTGGGGCTTCGTCTCGAAGGGATACGTTTTCTGCTAAGGTAGCAGTTAGAGGGTGATTCCTGACTATGCAGCTTTCTCCTATGATCCATTAATCACAATTTCTGGCCCGAATTTCCGAACCACCAACCCGTGCTGCTCCCCAGACAGCGGAAGCCATCCCATTGGGGGAGACCTCTTCGTCATCGGCATGGTGCCTCAACAGCAAAACCTCCAGCCTACATTCCTTAGTTCACTGGGGTGCAGAGGCTTTGGAGTTGGAGTTAGAGGTCGACCTCCGGACCCGCCTTGGTCAAGTCCACGGTTCTGAGACCCTCCCGGCCCGGCCCTCGAGAAATCCCCATGCCGATGCCGAAGCCCTGAACCTCAACACTACCCAGCATTGACAAGGGCCACACTTCTTTGTTTCGGTTTAGGTTCGAGTTCGAGTGTTCGGATGTAGGATCTCAAATCTAAGAAGAAGAAACTTAAGTCCGATGCCCAAAGGCCTCAGCCCCAGAACGTAGGACCGCCAAATCCGAGCTCACACCCACCCGAACATGTAACTCCTTGAACCCCACAGCATCGGGTTTCAGCTCCTACACTCCACATCCTAACCGTCCCAACCTAAGCCTTAGGCATTGGCCTTTTAGATTCCTGTTTCGTTGGGATGGCTCCAAAGGTCATTTGTTCGGCTCTGCGTAAGCACAGTTTGAAACCACAGCCCTTGTCTCAAAATACCGGGCTTGCTTTAGAGCAGGGGCTGATTCGTAGCGCAGGACAGGCAATTTGTTAGTAGGTCATGGCAAGCCCTACGCCCTGAACCCTAAACCCCCCAACTCTACAAGCTGCCGCATTTTCCAGGTGTCTTTCCAGTGGCCAGCCAAGTTCAAGAAGCGAATTGCGAGGGGCCTACCGTCCGGGGCAGGTTGCTTCAAGAACCTGGCTTAGGTCCTTGTAAGGGTTAGAGCTTCAGATTGTGGGTTTTGAGGTTTAGGGGCTTCTGACCTGTACTGATGACCTAGTTACCAGTCCCCTAGGTCCCCCAATCTTGGTAGACCTCGGAGTCCGTCCCTGTAATTCAAGGCACGGAGGAAAAGGCTCCCCGTGGCCTACCGCCCAACGCGGTGTGTGTGTGGCTTGCGGTTTAGGGTTTCGGGCTTAGGGCTTGGAGCTTCCGGGCAGCAACATAAACTCCGAGCCTGAACAGACTGTGCGAGTTCCCAAGGGTCGTTTTGCAGATGGGGGGGGGTTCGGGTTGAGTGGAAACAACAGGGGCCACGTCGGTCTTGCCAGCATTTTGGCAAATTTAATGCTCAGGGGCATGCCCAGGCACCGGTAGTTGCAAGGATCACAATGTTCTTGCTAGCACCGAGGTTTCTAAGAAGACTGACACCAGGTGTGCGACTAGCGGCCTAAATTCGTAGCATATCGCGATTAAAAAACCAACCCCTCCCTCCCGCTTAGGCAGACGCAGTCCGTCAGTACTGGATGCTGATGATGGTGGCAAGGATCTTGGTTAGAGTGCCAGGGTGCGTCGGGGTTGATTGAGGTTTCGGGGTTTGGGTTCAGGGATGACTTGGTCCGCACGTTCATGCTTCCGGAGCTCTTTCGCGCAAAGTACTCGGATCTTCGTGTTATGGGTGCGTGCACCCAAAACTGACGTTCACCACATGTACTTTCAGCGGAAGTCATTGCACAAATTGAGAATTCGGACAAGCCGCACACGTTTTTGCTTTTCACAGAGTTGGACGTGGAAATCCTCGCGTCCAACTCAAGATTTGCGAGTCTATCCACATGGCATGTGGGTTTAGGATTGTCGAGATCGTCAGGCTTCGGGCTCTGCATATTTATCGGAAGGCGGATTCTTTCAAGTACCCCTGTTACCCCCCTCCGTTACATCATATCGTTTGGACCTCTAGACCTCGTAGGGTCAGCGTACAAAATCCTGCACAGGGTTTTGGCCGTCCGGTGTTGTCTCTCCAGGTCAACAGATTTGAGTCGCAAGCTAGGGTGTCATGTGCTTATGTGTTTCCTTGGGTTTCCGCTTAGGGCTTATGGTTCTGCAGTGCTGTTTAGGGTTTGTCCACAGTCTAAAGAAGCTTTAGAACCGTGCAGATGTGGCAAATCTGTTGTGCATGAGAATTTGCCGAGATCTTGCTGCTCGCAAGCAACCCAATGGTGTATGGCCGCTGCCCCTCGGATCGGTTGATGGTTTCATTTTCACTATAGTTACCCTACCAATGGCCTTACGTATAGTGAGACGCGAAGAGTGCTGGTGGAGCTGCTGTTGCCTTTGTGGCTGCCAGCACGGGGTCTTGGGCCCGTGGTTTGAAGTGTCAGGGTTTGAACCTGCATGAACTACATCTCCTTGAATCACAGGGCTTACATATTCTCAGAGCCCTGAATCATAGCCTTTCCGACTTGAAACCCTTCTGCCAGTCGAACGTGTGGATGTTTCGCAGTTAAAATGCTGAGCGTGTCGGGAAGAACTTGGGTTTTCGGGGTATGGGGCCATGACCGTCATCAGCAAAGAACAACAGTTCCCGAACCGGTGCACATGTGCCGGCAAGAGTGGACAGTAGAATGATGACAGAAGTCCCACATCAAGCCAAACTGTTGGATGAGTGCCAATGATAGCTGCGAGATGGACAACGACATTCTTCATCGTGCATAAAGCAACGACATGATGTGACAATGCTGCCTGCTTGCATACAATCAACGGCGCGATCCCCACGATCTTCCACCCTTGAGGCAACCACAGCAGCATTTAGAGTCTGTGTTTGGCGACTGGAGAAATCCGAAACCCCAAACCCTAAACCCTAAATCCCATCTCAGGTGACTTAATGCCACTCAACACGACTTGGGAGCGCCTGCGGTACCGTGCCATCGAGTTTGCCTCGGGCTGAGCTGTTAGAAACCGAGACAAGCAGGCTTGATATGGGGGCCTAAATTTAAATCGGATTTTGCAGTTTTTTTAGGGCATAATTATTAGGCATTTTTGGTACAGGGGCCTTCGGAATTTAAGTAGGGCGTAAGTATTGCGATTATCAGTGTGTAATTATGCTAGTGGCTATAAGTAATAGACTAGAATACACTGTAGACTTCAACGTAATAAGATACCACAATGGACAATGATGCCACATTCACCTTCACTTACTCTTTTCTAGTATATACTACTTGAGCGTGAAACCGCACGCCAATTATACTACAATTTGATATTTCATATGACTCTGATTGACTGTGATACTAGACATACCTTCGTTTAACACGTGGGGGTGGGGGGAAAAGGGGCGCACGCCCCCGACCGCCCCAAAAACTTCGCTGATGCTGATGATGCGCGCCCCTGTCGCGCAACCGTCACAAGGTCCAAAACACAGACGACATGCCTCGCGCCCCACAGCCCCACAGTGTGCCGCCGGGTGAAAAAGGGGCGGGCGAGGTGTGGGGTGGCATGGTCAGAAGAAATTGAGGAGGGTGTGGGCCGCGAGCGTGCTTATGACAAGTGGGAAGGCACCGGGGTGGGGCGGGCTGCGGAGAACGGCAAAGGGATGTGGGGGCGGTCGCGGTCAGAGGAGAGTGAGGGGGGTGAGGAGGGTGTAGGCGGCGTGGCGAGTGCACTCGTTGGGGGAAATTATCTTAGGACAAGTTGAGAAGCACTGCAAGGCGGGCGGAGTGCGGGAAAAGGTGGAAGCCGAAATAACGAAACGAATGCATGACACTAAGAAAAACGAAGGTGAAGCGAAAGCGTAGTACGAAGAAAAAGGAAGGGCCCTCCAAACGCCATCTTGGGGTGGTCGGGTGAAATCAAGGAACCCTATAAGGGATAGTATATTGGAAATTACTTCGGCCCCTATACTTCCAGTCGTATGCGTCGTACGAGTGATGCGGAAAGACACGGAAGGAAGCAAAGACAGAAATGCGAGAGGACTCGACGAAGGGATCCTGCTCTGTACATTAGTTGGGCGTTAACGCTTTAAGAACTTTAGGGCATTTTAGGGTGTAGGGTTTCGGGCATTTAGCGGGTTTTGGGTTTAGCATGTTCTGACACTCCCATGCGTCCAGAGCCGGGTGAAGGGTATCGAGACTAGCGGCACTTCGGCCTCGACCCAAAGAAATACTAAGCTACACCCTCAACCCTAAACCCACACACACACACACACACAAAATCGACCTCCCCAAACCAGGCTTCGGGGTTTCACTGTTTATGGGGCTTCGGGTCCAGGGGCAGCTAAAGCCCAGGCCACTCAGGAACCTCCTTGGCGTTTCGCGAGCCCGGTTAGTAGTTCAAAGTTGTGCGAGCGCGAACAACGTATGAGGAGGTTTAGCGTTCAGGATTTGGGGCTTCGGTTTCTGGGGCTTCTAAAGCCCTTTGAAACAAGGCTCTTGCGTCCCTGATGGTCACGGATACACTGAACAGCTACGACTCACATGGCGTGACGCCATGGCTCAACATGTGGTCCCTGCACCATAGCTGCAATGTTTAGGCGTGCTTCACTTCCCGAAGCGTGTTCTGTGCAGGCACACGGATTATGTTGATGTGTTTCTGCATTGCTTGCTATGATGAAGAATACGACGAACAAGACGATGATGTATATGAAGATGATGAAGATGGAGATGACGATGATAATGTCAATAAACTTGATGATAATGATGGCAACATTTGTGATGATGATGCTGGTGGTGATGATGATGACCATGATGCTGATGGTCGCCATGATGATAATGATTATGATGATGATGATAATGGTGATGAGGATGGTGATGATGACGACGATGAGGATGGTCGATGATGATTGTGGTGGTGGTGATGCTGACTGTGGTGGTGGTGGTGGTGGTGGTGGTGGTGGTGGTGGTGGTGGTGATGCTCGTTTGCTTACGTGAGGGTGTGATGGCAACGCAACGGCATCATGAACCACGACAAGATGCTGATTGTGATGCTGATGACGATGGCGATTGGGCTAGACAATCCGAGAAAAAGGAGTACTCGGCTCGACAAGGGCTAGCGAAGCTGAGAAGGGTGCACGCCGGCCTGAAGATAAAGAGGAGCAAGAGCGTTCAAAGAGACCAGAGAAGACGAGAAAGAGGAGGCACGCCACTCGAAAGGACAACGAAGGGACTAGAAAACCGGAGAGGAAGGAGCACTCCGCTCGACAGCTGCTAGAGAGCGTCAGAATGGGAACGATTTGGATAGCGATGCTCTTGGTGACGGTGTGGACGGCAAAGGTGACGAAGCTTAGCTGCTCAGGTACTTGGGCGATCCATCATCAGAATCTCAACATCTCATTGTCATCATGGCTTGCCAGTGTGAGTGCGACTGCTTGGTTGTAGTTGGAGTACATCATCACCATCATCAAACCACCCATCATCATCGTCAGCAGCAGCTACATAAGCTTTGAGTGAACATCACCCTGATGTTCGCAACTTGAGCAGTTGTCATCGTTATACATTATACATACACATCCTCATCCTGGGCTGTTCTTCTGTTTATTCCAGGCTGTTGCTGACAACTTTGTGATTGAATTTTCACCGATCGTGCAGGCTGCGTTGTTGCCGTGGTTGCTGGTAGGGCTTTGGGTCTAGGGTTCAGGGCTGATGTTGCTGTTGCCGTTCTCTTTCAGGACCCCGGAATGTGCGATACTGCTGTCGGGCCCCAATAGTGAGAGCAACAATAAACTTTTCGAAGGTAATCTCGATGTAAGGGGGCATGTTTGCGTGCCTTCCTGCCATTTCGGCTTATGACCCTTCATTGCTGAGGTGGGCCTACTGCTTCCACGTGGCCTTGGCACGAATGCTTCCCATTCCATATGGCGCAGCTCTGAAGCTTGCCAAGGTTGAGGAACCTATTGGTTGCCAGTTGTTGAACCCTAGACCCCCAGGTTACTGTGTGTGCTACCACACGTCCCGTTGTTGGCCTCGCGCTTCTCACAAGTGCTTAGGTGCAGAGATGCGTGTTGTTTACCTGCTGCAACGACTGGCAACGATCTTCCATGTTTTGCATCGCTCAAGAACCGAAAACACTGAAGCATACAGAACAGAAAAGCTCCAGCTCGAAGCTTTGAATGTGTTTCAACGGGAAAAGACGGCTGATGCCGGAGAGCAAGCAGATTGGAAAGCGTATTCGATGCCCTTTTTGCTTTCCGATGGCCTAAACCCGGCCATGTAGCTATCTGTAATCTTTCTTCTGGTCGGGCTTTGGGGCGTTCTTGTTCTGCGTACTGTTGCTGTTGATCGACTACGGGCTTGTGAAGGTGTGCAAGTGCGGCTAAATGCAGCTGCTACTGTCGGTAATGTGATTCCTTTCCAAGACCCACATTGATTAAAGCCCCTGTTTGCCTGAGCCCAGGCCCATGATTTGCTTGTGGCACTCATCTGTAGGGGAGAAAGTGACTGGCATTTTTACATGTCAGGGTTGTCCTAAAGTAATGATGGTCCCTTCAAGGATCCTTGCATTCAACTGCTTGCAGATGGACAAGATCCTGCATTCCCCGATACATAGCCACACTATCGATCTTTCAAGCACTACTTTGTAGGTTCAGCCCAGCATGAAAAATGTTGTGCAGCCTCTTCCAGCGCAAACCGAGGACATATGGTTTCGTTCCAGTTTTCTACCTGTTCTCCCGCCTGCGTCACAGAAGTGGTGGTAGGTGGCTCTACAGAAGATAGTTGCTTGAGGGCTGAGGCGCCCCAGGCCTAAAGCCTAAACCCTAAACCCTAAACCCTAAACCCCAAATCCTTACCATGTAGCCCCACGGTCCGCCACTGCAGAATGGATTTTTTGCAATCGCAGTACCATGAGAGCCATCGTGTCGTTGTTCTGTTGAGGTTGTCCTAAACCTCGGCATCACTGAAGTGCTACTCTCCTTTTTGTGTCTCATCGTCATCGTCTTCTTCTTAGCAGTCTGGCTTTTGCATTAACTCCAGTGCCCACAGTTTCTGTAGATATTCGCGCTCGGAGGTTTTGGTGTGGAAGCTTCAGGTGTTCAGAAGTTAGGGTGTCGGATTTTGGTTTTAGTCTCGGGGGTGTCGCCTTCAGAATGTGCACGTCAGCGCCGAAATTCTTGTTTGGAGTTTAGGATGTGGACTGATTTCGGGTTCGGTTGGCTTCTGCGCTTTTGGGCGTAGAGGTTTGGTCGGTGTTCAGGTGTGGCAGTAATGTGCCCCCACTATGCCCACCATGACACGTCCTGGTCCCTTAAAACCCACAAAAGGGCAGAGTTCAGGGAGTGCGGACTAGGAGCTGTGGGAAGTCAGGATTTAGGAGCTTCGGGGACGCAGAGCCCGGTTCTACACCAAAAGAGACTCCGAAGCAAAAAAAATTTGAGTGTTTGGGGTTTAGGGTTTAGGGGCAGCTACCTACAGCACTTCCAGCCAAAGGAACAGTCGTAGACCCGACCTTGATCGCATGCACGTCACACAGTTGCAGTCCGGGCCTTTCGGCCGCAACGGAGGGCTCCGATAGGACCTCCAAGCACGAAGCTGGATGCTCAGACCCAGAAGTGCTTTGTGTGAGGCTGGGGGGCATAACCTTGCTAGGTTCCCGTCCGAGGCCCCCACCCCCAATCAAAAATAAGCAAATCACATTCATCCCTAGCAGCCCTAGCATCCTGCTAGAGGGATCGGGGCAATCAGTCGAACCACTCGAGTCCAGACCTTTCGTCTGGGTTTATATGTAGGAGTAGGGGTCTAGGGTAATACATAGGAGGAGAGGGAGTCACGGAGACAGCTGTCACTCGCAACAAACCAACTGGTAATCGAAACACCCTTAGGTGCCCATTCGTACATTCACGCTTTGCTCCCAGATAGTCTGGCAATTTCCTCGGGCGTGCCGTCGAGCCTCGTTCTCCCTGAGACCCTAAACTCTAAACCGAACCAAAATTCCTTATTGTAGGGGCCTAAAAAGTTAGAATTGGGTTTTGGGGCCCGGTATACTATAATTACAAAAAATAAAGAACCCCCCAAAATCCTACTCTAACTACTAAGGCCCCTACATAACCCTAAACCCTAGACGCCAAACCTCCAGGTTGGAACAGCCCCAAGAACTTCCGACAGAAGACACCGCTCAACGAGATGTCAATGTACAGATGGCCGCAATTCGGCCGCATGAGGGGCCTAGGGGCCTAGTATGGGGTCCTTTTGAAACAGGATAAGGTCGTGGCGCGTACTATAGGGTCGATTGATATAGGGACCTCAACGGCACGATGTTCTTGGTTCGGGTTTGGGAGTATGTTAGCGACGACTCTGATGTAGGTGCCGTAAGGGGGTGATGCTAGAATTGCAAGATTCAGACCTCTTTGCTCAGCTTCGGGGGAACTCCTTGGCTTAAACACCAGCAAAGCTAAAGTGAGTTTGGAGTTAGGGACTTTTAGAGCTTTCCGGATTGAGGGTTTAGGGTTTAGGG